GCATGGTAGACCCCCTCCTCATGGTCATGGAAGAAGAGAACAGGACTCACACCTCAACACAGCTCATAGTCCAGAAGACCATGTACTTCCTCATCAGGACCACCAGCCCGCAAATAATGACATGGAGATTTCTTATTAATTATGAGAGCTTGGCCTTTAGCATAGGCTTGCCCCCAACTTGCTCTTATAACTTAAATTACTCTGCTTCTATTGATCTACATTCTACCAAGAGGCTTTTTTTTTTCACCTCTTCTCCGAGTCCCCTGGCATCTCTCAACCTCTCTTCTTCCCAGAGTTCTCTCTCCCCCTGGAAATCTCGCCTAGCCTCTCCCGCCTAGCTATTGGCCATTCGGCTCTTTACTAGACCAATCATAGTGACACGTCTTCACACAGCGTAGAGAAATATTCCACAACAGGGAAAGGCTCTCCTAGGCCCCCGCAGTCCTGGAAAGGGGCCATTTCTTCCACAGCGTATGTCAGAAAGCAGCCAGAAGGTTGGGGCCACAGCCCCCTGCCCAGACCCTACGGGAAAGGGCACTAGATTTCATTGCAACCCAGGCCACAAGGATATCCTGAGGACTCCACTGCGGTGGCCAGAAGCAGGAGTAAGATAGTGTGGATGGGGTCCTGAGGGGTACCCAAGGACCTCCAAAACTCAAGCACCTTTCTCTGATCGAGTGGCGTCACTTAGGCACAGACACTGAGGGAAGATGGCAGGGCCGTTGGGTAAAGATACAAGATGGTGGCTGGAGCCTGAGGCCAGGCCAGGGACTCCGCCATCTCAGGATATGTGGGGAAGGGACAGGATGGGGACATGGTGCCCTTTGACTCCCTACAGCCCAGGGAAATGAAGCCCATTGGGTATGGGAGACACGGCAGCTCAGCATCTCACAAGGAGAAACTTCCCACCCCATCACAAAGGCCCTGAAGAATGACTTCAAATCACAGACAGCACAGACGCGTGCCACCCTTAAACGGGACAGCTCCCCCCCCCAAAAAAAACCTCAGCTGGTCTCACTACCTATAGGGAAAGGATCGTCAGCTAGCATTTTTAACAGAACCCACACGCCGTCAAATAGGTCCTGGTGGCCAGGTGGATTCAGAAAATCCTCTGGGACAGAGCCAAGATGGGAGCCAACCCGTACTCCCTGTCCAGAAGACTGTGTCTTCCTCACAGCTTCTGGGGGCCCAGGAAATCAGAGCAGCTGTGGGCACTCATACGGGACTGGGAGGCACAGGCATACTTCATGACAGAGCCACCTTTTCCCACTGTCCAGTCTCTGCGAGCCTCAGTTTCCCCCACTAGAGAAGAACAAATCCTTCCCACCTCGCCAGAGACTGGTCCCCGCCCTGCCTCAGCTCACACCCTCCTCATTTAAAGCGAGGCCAAATGCCTTTTCCTAATCAGCCTCACTAGTTTCCGGTCCTGGCAGTTTCTGAAACTCGGGCTGTTTGGGACTTCCTGTCACTTTTCCCTGTGGGCCACATACCAATGGGCCGGGCAGAGAGTCAGGTCAACTCCGGGGACCCTGCACCAGCCCGGGCCGGCCACAGTAGCACAACTAGTTTAATTATTAATTCTTTCCCCGGTTGCAGCCAGCCTCCCACACACACGCGTGAGTTCCTAACCTCTTCATCTCGCCCAGCATAACTCAGCCGCCCACAGGGTAAGAAGGCCGCGTGCTTGGGTTCTGAATCACAACTTCATGGGGATTTTCGATCCTTCTGGGGCTTCCTTACCACCTCAGGGGAACCACACTTGCTTCGTATTTTGATGGCTCCCTTCGGAGGCCGCGTCTCCATTCCAACGTGTCTCCAATTCCCTTCCTTCTGGGGCCTCCTCTCTCTGTCACCCCTCAGGTCACTGGGGCCTCCTCTGTATCACAACCCCGAACAGCAGTGTTGGGCTCCCAAACTCTTGACCATCTCTAAATTACTCCCTTCCCTGGAGTGCTTAAGGAAATTGATGGTTCTCTTCCCCGCTTTGGGTACCAGGGTGCCGCAGGAATAACCATGTCCTTCATCCTCACATCTTAAGATGAGCAAACATCTTACCACTCCTGTGCCTTTGCTGTTTTATTTCCAAAGCTCCCTATTCCCCAAGGGGCACCGAAGTTCAAGTCCCTCTTTGTTTTTAACACCGATGGCCTCTGGCTCCAGTATCTGCCCCATTCTGGTCCTTCTGAAGGTCCCAGCGAGCAGAAGGGGCGTTACCCCTACCCCTGACGGCAGATGCCCCCTCCATCTGCGGTACCCGCTTCTCCGCTTCTGCCTTGGCTGTGAGAGTCACCCCTCCCTCCTGAAGATCCCCTTGGCCCCATGATCTCCTTTCAAGCCCAGAGAACAGGCCGCACTCCCGACATGGCCCTGTGACTGAATGGACCCAGCACCTTCCTGTCTCCCCTGCAGCCTTCCGCACACAGGAAAGGCAAGCCTGGGCCTCTGTGGACCCTGGGCTGCTGTAACAACAGGAATCTATCTCTTCATAGTTCTGTGCTAGAACTATGTGGTCAGGATGTGCTCCAAAAGCTCAGGAGAGGGCCCTTCCTTTCCCCTGCTCAGCTCGAAGTGGGCCAGCACCCCACTGACATCTTTGTGTGGTATGTATCCCTCCTTCCTATAGGGACACTAGTCACCTGGTTGGGGCCCAGGCATGAGATCTCATCCTATCTTGATTATATCCAGAAAAAAAGAAAAAGAAAAAACTCTGTATCCAAATAAAGCCATGTTTTCAAAGACAGAAGATTAAGACTCCAATGTGGCATGGCAGGAACACAGTTGTGCTCACATCTCCAGCTGTGCGCCTTGGACACACAGCTGCACCCACTGGGTCTGGGTTCTCTGACCTCAACCCAGAGGTTCTGAAGCAGCAGGTTGGAACTGGGACAACGCCCACTATAGCTTCTTTCCCATGATGCTCTCTTGCGAGGCAGTCCATGAAGCCTGGTAGCTGCTTTCTCCCTCCCTCCCTCCCTCCCTCTCTCCCTCCCTCCCTCTCTTTCTTTCTCTCTCTCCATCTCTCCCTCCCTTCCCCCCACTTCATCCCCACCCCAGTCCTGAAAACATACCACACTGAGGTGACGATATGGGGCCAAACCCTGGACTGTGCTAAGTTCTACTTTTTCTTTGGAGGAGGGGGGGACAGCGGCAAATGATTGATGTCCCCCTATAGCTCTTTCCACCTTGTATTTTGAGACAGGGGCCCTCTGTTCAGGAACCAGGCACTCACTGAGTGTTGACTGGCCAGAACCTTGTCTCTGCCTCCCCAGGGCTGGGATTACAAATGTGCCCCCAGCTTTTTATGTGGGTGCTGGGGATCCACACTCAGGCCCTCAGGCTTGCCCAGCCAGCATTTTACTCATGGAGACATCTCCCCAGCCCCTAAGGGAATCACTGCAAACATGCTACTTTATACCATATACCACTACATAGAATATATAACATATACCAATTCCCATGAGCCTTATCAATTGTTCTAAAGCCATGGAGCGCCTCAATGGGAACCTTTTGTGGAGCCCAGGACAACAGAGTCCAAGCCCAATCACACACAGCTGTGAGCAGGCCACGCCGCCCTCTGTGCCTCAATGTCTCCTCTGTGAGGTAAAGACACACAGCTCTGGGTGGAAGCCCCTAGAGAAAGGCCACAGCAGATGCAGGGCTATTGTGTGTTCATCTCATCCCCATCAATTCTCCTGACTTCCCCTGTTCCCTGCAGTGTAAACAAAGGTAACAGAGGCAATTTGAGCCCAGCTTGTTTGCACTGTACAAAACTGAAGGCCTATGGAGTCGGCATGGTGGGAGACGCCAAGGCCAGAAGCGTTCTCCTCCGAGCTGGGGGGTTTGGCTCAGTCAACAAGGGGCTATTTGCTGAGTGTTATCAGAGACCTCCGAGGCTCCATAAAGCCCAGAGTTCAGCTCCCCGCCCTGAGAAGGCAGAGATCAAGGGTCTTTGAGGATCAATTACTTGGAACACAGAGGGGCTCACAGGGGCAGGACGGAGTTAAACAGAGAACACAGCTCTCTACCGGTGCCTGCCGTCCTGTCATTTCCCCCCCTCCGCCGCCATCCTGTCCCCCGACCCCAGACTCCTCCACACTCAATCCCAATGAATCCTCCTCAGACCACTGACAGCAAGCGCGGGACTCACTAATGTGAAGTGGGACAGCTGTGAAAATGCCACCAGAGGCCGCAACTTTGAAGATGGACGGTGCATTCTGTGCTCGTGGACTCTCTCCCCTGCCCTCAGCCTCTGCAGCCGCCTGCTCTCTCCACCTCACCCTCTGCCTATCTCCAGGCCTACAGCTTTGCCTTGACCTCATCCTGACCCTGTGGCCCTCAGCAGCGTCTCTTGAAGCACAGGAGGAACACAGCTAATGAGTCCCTCATTGATCATTTCATCCTCCTCCCTTGCATTGACAGATACTCTCTCTCCCAGCCCTGTGGCCATCTATGACCCAAATGAGGATCTTGTCGGAGTCGATGAGAAGGGAAAACGCTGCAGAAATAGGACCCAGCATCTCCATAGGACGGTAGCCATTTGGCCAACGGGAAAAGACAGCACACTGCTCAGCAGATCTCCCCGGAAAAGGCCTCAATTTTTCACCATTTTTTTTTTCACTACGGTACTCACCACTGTTCACTCAATGTCCCTCGAGGTTTGACATTCCCTGCCTGTCCCTAGGTCACTTTAACAGTAGCGGGTCCTCTTCTCCAAGCGAGCAAGTCATGATGGCGTTTTCCAGCCTCCTTGCTGTTCTTCTCATTCTGGAGAAGGAGAAAAGGCAAAGCTCCAAATCAAAGGAGACCCATTAGCCCTAGAGCCCACTGGAGAGAGACCTGACAGAGATGTGGAAGCCGGGGCGTCCTCCCGGCACGGTACAGCATGTGGAGGATGCCAGTGTGTCCGTTCCCTGGAAGCCGCCAGATGAAAACTCCTCAGTGGCCATCGGTCCCAACCCCAAGGCACAGAAAGGGTCTTTGCCTCTCAGAACATGTGACCCTCACCACGTGAGGTCACAGCCCTGTGAGAACATCTCCTGAAGACTAGGACATCATGAGCAATGATGGCCAGAGCACCCCTTCACCCAGTCTCCCCTGATTCTCCCTGACTTAAACAGGGGAAATGCCGTCATTTTACACAGTGTACGTATTAATAATACTCTATAGGATATACCCTTTGTATATGAATATGATGTAATATGACACACTATAAATAGTATGTCTTTAAGATTTATTTATTGTTTAAGTATGTATGTGTGTGCATGTGTGTATACATAAGTGCATGCACACATGCGTGCAGGTGGTCACAGAGGCCAGAAGAGGGCATCAGCTCCCCTGGAGCTGGAGGTATAGGCCACTGCGAAGGCGGGGTGCACATGGATACTGAAAAGCAAATTCCGGTCCTCTGAAAGAGCAGCAAGTGCCCTTCACCACTGAGTCATATCTCTAGCGTGTGTGTGTGTGTGTGTGTGTGTGTGTGTGTGTGTGTGTGTGTGTGATCTATGGGTATGTGTGAAAGAGTTCCTATCAGCAAAATATTACATGTGGACAGAGTATTTTTTAAGTTACGTATGTGTGTTTGGGCACAAACATGCCACAGCCTATGTGTGCAGAGGCTCTTTGTTCGTGGGGGTCTCTCGATGTGCCTGCTGCTGTACAGCGTCCTCCGGCCTCGCGGGCCACGCATGAGCTTCCTGGTGATTCTCCTGTCTCTGTCTCTCATCCCATTTTGGATACGCTGGATTACAGGTGTTCATCACCACATCTGGCTTTTTATGTGGGTTCTGGGTGTGGAACTCAGGCTTGAACATCTAGGGCTTTGACCCCTGAGCCATCTCCCCGGGCCACATCTAGATAATGATTTAATTAGAGGAGTGGGTTTTTAACCCGGCATTTCTGATTTCAAAGGTCAGTAGGGTAGGGTCCTTTGGATCCCCCTGGAAAGGGCTCAGTGAGCCCTCAGTTTCCTCTACACTTTTCTGGGTCCCAGCTTCTGTTACCTGCCCCAGCGCTGTGTTCCGGAAAGTGACTGCCAAGCTAAATGACTCCAGTGCAAAAGTCTCCTGTCTCTCTGAGGCAGTGTGTCTACCACCCTATGGGTGCCCAGGCTAGACCACACGATCAGTCCCAAGAGCTGCTCATGTCCCACACGAATAACCAGGGTCAGTTCCAAGAGAAAGAGGTGTCAGACAGGGGTCCCTGCTTCCCCACAACACACACGTCAGTCGGAGTGCAGAGGAGGAGGTGGCATTGGTCTTCGGGGAACGTCCTTCCCCACCATCTCTGTGCCCCTGTCTCCTTGGGAACCAGATCCTTAGCTCCAATTCCCAAACCCACATCACAGCACTCTAGCCCCAAAGGGTACCACGAAGTACTGTGTAACCAAATGAGAACCAGGGGAAACATGACACCCATGGCAGCTGCAGATCTGCACTTGGTTGAATTCTAGACCTCTGTTTCCCCTTCTCAGGAGGCATAGGAGTTAGAGGGATGGCTCAATGGTTAGAGTCCTTGCCGCAAAGCATAATGACCAGGGTTCGGAGCCCTAGAACCCATGTAAATGCTGGGCAGGAGTGGCAGCCTGTCTGTAACTCCAGCCTCAGAAAGCAGGGACAGGGGCCAGCCAGAACAAACCGGCCAGCCAGATTATCCAAATTGGCGAGCTCAGTGTTTGCTGGGGCGTCCTTGGCTCAGTGAATAAAACTGAAGGACGGTTGAGACCAGTTCCCTAAAGCAGCCTCAGATCTCCACAAGCATGAACACATATGTGCAGATCCTTGTACATGTATCTCCACACATGCACTCACATACATGAAAATACACGTATACGCACGTGGGGAAGGACGAAAAAGATAAATGGAAATAAAACCAGACTTCAAGGCTGTACTGATCCCTGTCCACGTTTCAGTGGGCCTGTTTCCATTCCTTCCTCGGATGGACACAAAAACCTCCTTCTGTTCTTGGAGATTTTAAGTTAGGACAGTTTGTGGTGTGAGCGTGTCTGTTTAAAACCAAATGGGAGTTCCCCTTTTCCTCGACACAAAACAAAACTCAAGTGTCTGAAGGACCCGTGATGCCTCCTCGCCGAGCCTGTCAGCCAGGCAGAATGCCCCATGTAGGCTGTAGCCGTCAGCTTCTCTCCCTCAGAACCGGCTCACTGGCAGACTCTCCACCGATGATCCCCAAACCTGTTCTCGAAATCACAGGGAAACAAAACAGTATTTTCAGAGCTTAAGACACAGGAGACACACACGGCCTTGCTGTGTTCACTGTGGGAGCTGGGGAGGTCCCAGGAAGCAGGGGACCTGGAGAAACATGGCTGTGCGTCTGCACACCGCCCTCCTAGCCGGTGGCTCGCTCAGCTCCAGCTCTTTGCCCCAGCTTCAGTGGACCAGATTTTCTCGATTCATAACAAAAGGTCTGCTTGGGATCAGGCCTGTTTCCCACCATCTCTATGCAAACCAGCAACACTTCCCGTGTACATTAACACTTCAAGGCGCCTCTTCTTAAGGGTGGCCAGAAAGGCCCCTCTCAGTGGGCAAAATCTGCTTTGCCCCCCTCGTGACATCTGTTCTAACTAAACAGAAAGAAGTCTAAATAATGCCGGGGTGCCCTTGGATTTACACACTCCTGGCCCTTCGGACAGGGCCCCCAGCCCACACCTGTAAGTGTTTCCTCCTTTCCAAACACTGAGCGGATTCAAAAATTCCACAGAACTCAAGAAGCGATCCCGACCATGTCATTTAAATTTTAATTGTCCTTTTCATGATTTCTTAACCATGTGTTTGATTAGGGCTAGACCCCAAAAATCGGGTCTTTTAAACTTCGACAACAACAGAATTTTAACCGCTGATGCGTTTCCCCCGACCCCCACGCTCCCCGGCCGCACCCCCAGCTAATTTTGCTTTCGGAAACAGGGAAATCAAAGCAATTTGGTTAGGCCACTGAAATATGTCTACAGACAGCGAAGAGCCGGCCAGCGGCAGAACGTAGAAGAAAAGATGTCAGGGCCCCTCCCACCATCTGTGCCCAGGCTCAGGGCTCTCTTACATTGGTCATCCCTGAACAAAGCTGGAGGCAGATTCCAGCCGGCTTCCCATTCACTATTCATTGAGGGGCCCATCCACTCCATATGCATTCAGCCCACTGCTGTGTTAAATCAGTGCCTACTCGGGGATTGACATGGTAATGGAGTCATGGTCAGCTCCCTGAAAAGCCCCCCAGAGGTATGCTCCTTTCTGACAAATCCACCCTTTCACCCCGTTGAGGCCTGGAAATTATCTCATAACACCGCAACATCTGTGCACAGGATCCCCGACACTGGAGCCGAGCCTGCTTATTCCTGGGCTGTGCCTCCCACACCGGCTCACACGGAGTGAGGCCAGGGCCCAGCACTCCTGGGGTGTAGTCCACTAGCCCCACGGCCCCCCCTCCCGCTCCTTCTCATATCCTTTGTGTCCTCCCGTGGGATCCTTGCGCTGCACCCCAATGCTTGGATGCTGCATCGGGACCTTTCCCTGCTCATTCTCAGATGTTAAAGGTGGAAGGCAGAGCTAACTTACATCCTAGATCTACACTTGCTAACAGAAAATCTTAAAATTACCCCAGCAGGGAAAGCCACGCCAAGGGGGAAAAACGTGGGGGGGTAGCTAATGAATTTTTCTCAGACTCCAGCAAATAGCATTTGCTCAACCAATAAGTAAGTGTATTTGAACTTAATTTAACTGGCCCAGGTCAATAAAATGCTTCTTGGGAAAGCAGTAGGGGCGGACAGGGTCTCTAGACCAGCTTTATTGGCGTCGACTATGTGCTCCGTCCGATACAACGATTTCATGTAATTTAGCTTGACATTTACAAACTCTTGTTGGGGGGGGGGATGGAGATTTCTGGGTTCCATTTGCTATCACTTCACCTGACTCTGCGCACGGGTGGGGGGGGGGAATAAATGTCACATTGGTTACCAGCAGCTGCCGGCCCTCCTTTGGAGTGCGCTGCTTGGGTGGGGTGGGGTGAGTCAGGCTCCTTCACTGGGCATTCCCAGGGCTTACCTGAGGACGGGAGCAGAGGGTGTACTAGACAAGCTGCACTTTGTTTGGCTGGTGTTTTTCAGTTGCATTTATTTACTATATTTGAGTGCATGCATAGGGGTGGGTATAGGGGTGGCACATGCCAGGGTGAACTCGTGGAGGTCGGAGGACACCACCAGTAAGTAGGAAAGTTCTCGCCTGCCCTATGAGACTCAGGGCTTGAACTCTGATCAGCAGGCTTGCAAGCGGGTGTCAAATGTGCCTGCCTGGGCATTCTCAGCCGGCCAAAGAATGTATGTGCTGGTTCTTCCCAAAGGCGCCCAAGAAGCCGGTATGGTTCGGATGTGAGACACTCCCAGAGGGCGGGTCCTGTGTCTGAACACTTGGTCCCTAGCTGATGAAACTGTTTGGGGAATTTAAAGGATCCTTGAGGAGTAGAACCTCCCCCCAAAGGAAGCTAGCCACTCAGGCTAGACTTTGGGTCTAGCCTGGCCCCAGTTCTGACCAGTCTCTCTTCTGTGTTAGCCTCTCGTGACAAGAAGCTGTCTCACCGTCCTGGCTACAGAGCCTCCGCCATCACACCCACCCCGTATGTATCCCTCCAACCATGAGCCAAATATACCCTTACTCCCGGAAGTTGTTTCTACGAGGTCTCTCATATAGCATCTAGAAAATACAGAAGTCACACCTGCCCTGCAGGGAAACAGAGACAAGACCACGGAGAAGCCAGCTTTCCCG